GCACCGAGAGCCCCCTCCCCACGGGGCACGCGGTCCCTGCGCCGAGGGGAAACCTCCCCTCGACGCGGGGCACCGAGAGCCCCCTCCCCACGGGGCGCGTGGCCCTCCCCTTCCCCGGCTCTCCGAGCCCCCTCCCCAGGGGAATCAGAGCCCCCCCAACACGGGGCACGTGGTGGCCCCTCGGGGCCTCCTCTCGCCGCCCGTCGTGCCTCCCGCCCGGGTCCCACTGCGGGGCCGGTGCGGTCTCGCTCGGTGCGGGGCGGGCGCGGGGCGGGCGCGGGGCGGGCGGAGGCGGCCCCGGTCCCTCCTTCCCCCCTCCCGCCGCCGCGGCCTCGTCGCTCCCGGGGCGGAGCGAAAGCGTTTAAAAGCGTTTCCCTTCTTGGAGTAAAAGTCAGAGACTTGGGGAGCCCCCGGGAGCCCCCGGAGGCCCCTCCTGGCCCGGCCCACCCCCGGAGCCCCCCCGGGACCCCCCCCGGGACCCCCGGCCGCCGCTCCCGGTGAGTAACGGCCCCGCGGGACCCCTGGAAGGTTCCGGGGCGGCGGGAGAGGGGCCGCGGCCGTGGCCTCGTGCCCGGCGCGGGGATGGCGGGACGGGCTGGGTGGGGGTCCCGCCGGACCCCCCCGGGCCCCCTCGGGACTCCCCTGGATCCCCCTGGGGTCACGGCGGCCCCTCCGTGCCCGTCGAGGGCCCGAGGCCGGCGCGGGGCGGGCAGGGGGGTGCGGGGGACGCGGGGGGTTCCGGAGGGTTCCAGGGTGGTCCGAGGGGGGTCTGGGGGCTCCGGCCCCCCCTCCCCGCGGGGCGCGGGCCGGGGGGGCGGTGGCGCCGGGCGGTGATTCATCCTTTCCCCCCGGCGCTGCCTGTGCCGACGGGCGCGGACGGGGCGGCCCCTTCCCGCCCCCGCCCCCGCTTGGCCCGCGCGACGCCGGAGCCGCCCCGGCCTGGGAACCCCGAATCCCGGACCCCCTTGGTGTGGGAACCCCGGATCCCGGACCCCCCCGGCCTGGGAACCCCAAATCCCAGAGCCCCTTGGAACGGGAGCCCCAAATCCCAAACCTCCTTGCTATGAGAATCGCAAATCCCAAACCATGCTGGCACGGGAACCCCAAACCGTCCTGGCGTGGGAACCCCAGATCCCAAGCCCCCCCCCCCCGGCCTGGGAACCCCAAAACCCACGAGGCCTGGGGACCCTCAAATCCACCCGACCCTGCCCCTCCCGCAGACCCTCAGGCATGAGACCCCCGACCCTGCGGCTCCACAGCATCAGACCCCCGAAACCCCCTGGGCTTGGGACCCCCAAATCCCAGAGTCCCCAGGCCTCAGTCCCCCAAAACCCAGAGGCCCCCGACACCCCCAACCCCCTGAGTCCCCCAATGCCGGGCTCCCAAGCCCCCCCGGCCCCCCATCCCACCCCCGTTCCCACATTCCGCGGGCGGCGCCGCCGCCTTTTCCCGCTCCCGTTTTGGGGCCGAAGGTGGGAATTTTGGCAGCGGGCCCCCCCCGCCCCCCCCGCCGGGGCCGCCCCCGCCCGGGGCCGCGGGAGCCGGTCGGGGCGGCCGGGCCGGCACCGCCCTGGCGCCGGGGGGCCTCCGGGAGGGGCCCCCAAAAACGAGGGGGGGACACCCAAAACTCGGGAGGGGGACACCCCAAAACCCGGGGGGAGAACACCCCAAAACCCGGGGGGATCCAAACCCGAATCTCCCCCCCGGCGTGGGGTCACCCCCCGCCCTACACTTGGGGAGCTCCGGGCTGTGCCCGCGGGGCCACCGGGGCTGGGGACACCCGAGGGGCATCACGGCCGTGACCCCCCAGTGGGGACCCCGAGTCTGGTCAGCGCCTCGGACCCCCCTGGACCCCCGAGCCCCCCCGGACCCCTCCCCGGCGTCGTGTCGGTGCCGCCGCCGCGACGGGATCCGGCCTCGCTGGCACCGGGGGGAGGGGGGGTCGTCACCTTCGCTACTGTCGCGACCCTCCAGTGGGGGACCCGGGGCCTGGGCGCCCCCCGCCCCCCCTCGGAGCCCCCCCGGCGCCCCCCGGCCCTGTGTCGGTGCCGCCGCCGCTGTTTACCCCCATTTTTTGGGCCGGTTCCACCCGATTCCCTTTGAAGTCGCCCCGTTGTCGTGACGACGCTGATGTCACGACCGGGCGGGGCCTCGTGGGTCCCACATGGCGCCGGCAGAGCCCCGGCCCCGGGGCCACCGCGGCCACCAGCGCTGGGGACACCGCGGCCGCCACCCCTGGGGACAGCGGGGCCACCAGCGCCAGGGCCCTTGGGGACACTGGCGCTGGAGCCACCAGGGCCACCAGCCCGGGGCCACCGGGGCCACGACAGCGCGACCCACGGCCACGTCCTGGGGGCCAGGGGGACACAGGGACAGCGACGCCCCCGTGGGACGCGGGTCCATCCCCAGTGCGGGGCTCTCCTGGCGCGTGGGGGGGTCTGGGGGGGTCTGCAGGGCCCGTCCTGCCGTGGGGACACCCAGGGGACACCCAGGGGACACTGGGGATGCGGCGTGGCCAGGGACACATTTCACACCAGTGATGGGGTCACGGGGCTGGGACTCGGGGGTGTCACCAGAGCTGTGTCCCGGTGCTGGTCCCAGTCCCAGAGCTATGTCCTGGGGCCCTGTCCCAGTGTCCGTCCCCGTCCCATATCCCAGTCCTGTATCCCTGAATCTGTCTCCTGTCCCAGTGCCTGTCCCAGTGCCATGTCCTGGTCCCAGTCCCAGTGCTGTGTCCCTGTCCTGGTCCTGTGTCCCCCCTGTCCTGGTCCCAGTCCCGTTACAGTCCCATCCCAGGCCCTCCCCAGTCCCTCCAGTGTCCCCCAGAACGTGCTCATCCCGTCCCTGCGGGGACTCTGCTGCCCCTGGATCTCCCTGGTCCCCTCAGCCCCACCCCAGGGTGATCCCCTCTACCTCAGGGGGGCTCCAGACCCCCTGACTGACCCTCCACACCCCCCAAAACAGGTGGGACCCAGACCCGGCTCCGGCCTCGGCGATGGCACCGCAGGAGCACCGAGACCTCCACCGGACCTTCTGACCCCCCCTGGGGCTTCTGACCCCCCACCGAGGGTCCAACCCCCCCACACGGAGGGTCTGCCCCCCCCCAGGGTCCGCCCCCCCCCGCTGCCGCCCGTGGGGGTTCCTGGCGATGGGATTTTTTACCGTTTTTGCCCAAAATCACATTGCCAGGGATTTCCAACGGGCCCCAGCCCCCGCTGCCGCGCCGGGGGGGCTGTGGGGGCGCTTCGGGGGGTTCTGGACACCACTGGGGGTGAAATTGCGGGGAGTTGAGGTGCTGGGGGGGGAATTGGGGTCGGGGGATGTGCAGGTGCTGGGGGTGTTTTGGGTGGGCCGGGGAGGGGAGTTTGGGGGAGGCTGGGGGGGCTCTGGGTGCTGGGGGGATTGGGGGGGCTGTGTGGGTGGTGGGGGGGTTGTGGGGCGGTTTTGGGGTGCTGGGGGGGTTTTGGGGTCGGGGGGCAGGGCTTAGCCCACCTGTGAACAGAGTCCAGCCCCGTGTTCACAGTGGCTAAGTTCCGCCTCCCGCCCCCCCCGCCCGCACATCGGGGATCCCCCGGGACCCCGCAAACTCTGGGGACCACCCCCCAACCCCCTGGGACCCCCCGGGGCCCCCCCGAACACCTGAACCCCCCTGGGGCCCCCCCAACCCCCCGAGTCCGGCTGGACGCTGAACCCCCCGGGATGTCATCGGGACCCCCCGAAGCCCCCCGGGACCCCCCGGCCCCCCCCGGGCGCCGCCCCCGGTGCCCGCTGAGCTGATTTGCAGTTGCTTTGGATAAACTGGCTCAGTTCAGCAGGAACAGGGGTCGGGTCCCCGCGCCCCGAACCCCCCCCGAGTCCCTGAACCCCCCTGGGGGTCCCAAACTTCCCCCGAATTCCCAAAACCCCCAGGGTGGAGCCCCCCCGGAGCTCACCGGGACTCGCCCGTTCTTCCAGAGCACCGAAACCCCCCGGGGGTGCCCCAAAAATTAGAGGGGTGGGAGGCGCAGAGACCCAGGCGCGGGGGGGGGGTGGTTCGTGGGGTGCTGGGGCAGAGAGTGGGGGGGAATTGGGGGTCGTGCGGGGCCGTGGGGTGCTGGGAAGTCCGGGGGTGCCGGGTGGTTTGGGGGAGCCCGGGGGGGCTGTTGGGGCGCGGTTCGTTCCCGCCCCGTCCCGGGCGAGCCCCGACAGCGGCGGCCGCGCCATCCCCGGGCGGTGCGTGAGTCACGGGGGGAGTTGGGGGGTCCCGCCCCACGAGAGGCCCCGGGGGGGGCCCCGGCGTCCGGCCCCTCCCCCACCGCTCCCTGTTTGTTTCCCAAAATAAACCCGGCGGCGCCGATTCCAGGGAATTTCCCTGACGTCATTGGGGCGGGGCTTCAGCGCCGACCACGCCCAGGGGGCCACACCCACTGTGGGGGAGGGGGAGATGCCCACGTGTCTTTGCCACCCCCCAAAATAAGGGGCGCGGCCAGTTCAGGGCGCTGTGGGCGCTCAGGCCACGCCCCCTCCTCCCATTGGCTACCGCTGCCTCGCCCGCTGTCAATCACCTTGCGGGGGCGGGGACAGATGGGAAATGCAAATTAATCAGCGCGGGCGGGGGTGGGGCCTCGTGGCCCATTCATAAAGTTGTGGCGGAGCCGGGAAGGGACGGGACCCCCGCGGGGACCCCCGGAACACCTCGAACCCCCCTCAGAGACACCGAGACCTCCTTGGAGACCCTCCCGGGACCCCGAAAAAGGTCCCAAGATTCCCCCAGACCCATCCCGAGGACCCAGAGACCCCTCCCCAGGGACACCGACCCTTCCCCTTGGCCCCCCCGGCTCCAGGAGCCCTGAGATCCCCCCCGGCCTCCCCAAATCAAACACCCCCACTGCGTGTGAGGGGGGGTCGTGCCCCTCCAATCTCTTTTATTAAACAAAAAACGCCAGGGGTAGGGGTCTGAGCACAGCCCAGCCCACCCCCCCGCCACCCTCGGCCCCTTGGGGGTTTCCAGAGAAGAGTGTTCAGCCGCGGCCCTTCTTGGCTTTGCCGTTTTTGGGGGGCGGTGGCGCCGCGACCACCGAGAGCCTCTTCGGGAGCGATCCCTGCGCGCGCTGCGCGGCCTCGCGCTCGATCCGCAGCCGGATCCCGATCTCCAGGCGCTGGAGGGGCACGGGCGGGTCAGGAGGGGCCGGGGGGGGCCCTGGAGTCCCCCCAAGACCCTCCTGCCCCCCCCTCACCTTCTTCAGCTGCTGCTGTTGGACCACGCGTTGCTTCTTGGGGGCGATGGTGCGGCCTGGGGGGGGGCGGAGGGCGTGAGGGGCGGCAGAGACCCCCGGGAGCCCCTGAGAGACACCCAGGGCTCCCCAGGAGACCTCCCAGACCCTCCGAGACCCCCCCCGGGAGATGCCCCAGAACCCCGAGAGACACTCAGGACCCTCCAATGAGACTCCCAGACGCCCTGAGAGACCCTCGGATCCCGCCCCCCCCCCGAGATTCTCCAGACCGCCCAAGATACCCCCGGGACCCCCCGAACTCCCTGAGACCCCTCAGAGATTCCCGGGATCCCCCGATGGGTGTGTCCCCTCCAGAAACCCCCGGGGGGGGGGGCGTAGTGGAGCCCTCCCGTCCCCTCAGAGCCCCGCGGCTCCTCCCGCCCTCCCTCCGTGCCCCCCTCACCTCCCTTCCTCGGCCCCCCGTCCCCTCCGTGCCCCCCTCACCTCCCTTCCTCGGCCCCCTCCGTGC